CAGTTTCATTTTACTACTCATGCTCACGCGTAGAAACTATATATATATACCACACACGCATCTTTTCAAAAATATTGATAATTTTATATTAAATTTAATTGATTGAATATTCAGTGAGTATGACTTGGTGATGTGAATTTTTAACCCTTCTTGCATTTATTAACTCCAAATTACTTATCGCATTCTGAGTGAAAGTTACCAATCCTCACACAACTTTACAGGTTTCTGTGATTCTATGATATAAAGAAGAAGCCATGTCATGTCACAAAAATTATATTATATAGTGCAGGACATCTGTAATGGTCAATGATTATCACATGACTTTAAAAGCTTATAACTCCTTATTAAAAAAAAGGAAAAAAGAAAATCGATAGAATTAAAGCTAAAGACCCAAGCTTCATTTCCATCAGTTTACCTTTTTGAGTTATAAGGCTTCAAATTTCGGAATGACCTTCCCTTGTGTTTCCTAAAAGGCTCAAAAAATTTTCGTGATACATAAAATTTTTCCAATAAAAGAAATATGATTATGATTACTTGAAATTTCGGATTATGACATTTAAGGGTGCTCAATCATCTGAGGCCCATGTGTTTGAGCACATGAATTAGTGTATTCCCTAAAAATTCTAATGTACATAACAATGGCCAATCAAAAAGAAATGTTCGGATCTAACCAAATCTGGTAATCATCTGCTAAAAATCAGCCGATAATTTCAATTGTTTGTTTTTAAACACTTAATATTAACGAGTCACTAATGGATGGAGTTATTAAGTACTTAACTGTACCCCCACTCACTAGATACGACCAAATAATAAATTTTCTTATTTCCATTATCTAATAGTGATTATACAATAACTTTGATCCTAAAATGAAGGCTTTATTTTTTAAATTTACTCCCGTGTCAGATTATCGTTATTATTTACTTGTAATAATTAAATTAAAATATCATAGCATAGTTATTATTAATAATGAAACTGACTCAGAAGGAGCAATAGGCTATAAAGTATGTATAAAAAGTACTTGCTGAAAAGGGACAAGCAGGTAAAAATAATAGTAGGAGATAATCTATATAAGATGTGGTGATTATGATTGTTGTGCGTGAATTTGGAATCTGCGCCAATTTGAAATTCAAATTAGCCAATCAGAATTTTGTATTCAAACACCCACCCCAAAATTTATTTTCACGCAGCAACATTTATTATTTGGGATTCTATCCCATTCCTCCGTCATATGCTTGCTCTAATTTTGGGAGATCTTTAGGCCTGCGCATTTCCATATTTCTTTTTAGAATTGCCCAGAGGGTTAAGTCTGATCAGTACATAACTTTGACAAATCCTACTTACATGCTTGGGGTCATTGTCTCGCTAGAAACGTCAATTGTTTCCATGCATTCTGTTGATCTCCTGCTTGTATCTTCGTAAACATATTAATATCAATATAAAAATTTACATTCGTAATTCCTCTAAACTTAATATATTGTTTATTCAAAACGTGATTGCAAATCACTTTTATTGAAAAGTTATATTAAATATTTAACATTATTTAAAATCATATAAATAATATTATGAATGAATATAATAATAAAATAATATAAAGAAAAACGTTTTAAATCTTCATAAACTATATAATATTAAAAATATTACAATATTGTATATAATCTCTATCATTATTATTAATGAATTTAATGAATTGTCACTTGGATATTCCAAGATCTTACGGCTCTACTATAAATTAAGCTTTTTTCAGTCGCAATTTTCTTTAACACTAGTAACCTTTATTAGCTGCAGATTACACTTCATTCTTATCACTCTCATCACCATCCTCGTCTTCTTCTAAATCTATATCACCATCTTCTTCTTCTTCCAATCCAACATCATCATCATCACTTTCATCATTTAATCCATTCACTATTCTGATTATTAAATCTATTTTACCTATAAATCCATCCCTTGCTTTAGAAATTTCATCGAATACATTATCGTTTGTTAATAAACGTAAATGAGTTATCCATTTTCCTATTGATGGTTTCAACCTTGAATCAACATCCAAAACTTCAGGTAGTATTATTTTTTTATTTTTATCTTCATCAATAATAATGCCTTCAACAATCTTCCACCCCAGTAACTTCGTATCCAATACAATCCACCCAACACAAAATTCTGCTAAATCATGAACATTCTTCAATATGTCGTCCTCTATAGAAGCTTCAAATTCAAGCATTTCTCCAAAACCATTATTATTATTATTATTATTATTATTATTATTATTATTATTATTATTTACTCCCATCTTTTTCTTTAATGATATAGCATAATAAGCTTTATTTGCACAATTGATTGATGCTTCTAATTTTCCATTCATTAATAATATAAATGAAAATAATCCCATGGCAATAATTTCTTTATTTATATTGTTGACGGTTTTTGGATATTCGTCTTTCAATCTACTCATAATATTTTCGCCAACAACGTTGTTCCCTTGAGTAAATGCCTCAACTGCACATCCAACCAATGCATACCAATGTGAGATAGACTGTTGTGTCGTGATTTTTAACAAATCAATAAAACTATATTTACATCTAGATGCTTCTTTCTTTTTACCAAACTTTGAAGATATAAAATCATAAAAAGAATTTTTAAGATGGAAAAGAGCCTGTGCATCAGTTAAATATGTAAGGGGAATGGTAGTATTATTGATATTATTTGCAACAGTAGAAATGGTTGCAGCGGTGCCATTGGAATTAGAATGATTATTATTATTACTCTTCGTATTGCCAATAAGTTTGTCTTCATTTCGAAATAATTGATCTCTAATTTCATTTGCGATTCTTTTCCATAGATTATCACCTTCATTACATGCCAGTGCTATTTCAAGCCATTTATCTTGATCGCTACTATTATTTCTTCTTTTATTATTTGCCAATTTCCAGAAATGCGAGACTGCTTTTTGAGAAATAAACGGAATTGAATTTAGTCCAATATAACATTGAAAAGCTGCATTGGCATAAATGCGTGATGGACTAATGTAAAATGGTTTACGATTGTTGTATGGATTTTCCAATAAATTGATTGTTCGAAAGCATGTATATAAAATGGAAATTCGTGAAACTTTTTTATTTCCTATTATATTGGCAGAAATAAAAAAAGAAGAGAGAGAAAAAATCGCTTTTAGAAAACATCATCACCATAAACATCATCAAATTTATTTTAAAAGCAAAAGTTTTTCGGGAACTTACCACCACACAATTCAACTTCGCCAGTTCTAGCCCAAAGTTCAACTTCCAATGTTCTTTCATCAATATCCAACAGACTAGAAGCGTCAGAAATTTCCCAACCCAAAAACTTTCTTAACAACAATTTAAAAGCTTCAGATATAAAACCAATTATTAACTCAAAATAGTTCATTTGTAGACTTTGCGTAAGATGAGAAAGTGATCGATAATATGCTTTTATATCTTTAGTTTTAAGGGTTAATGCTGACATTATAGTTGATTTTTTTCTATGAACTTGACGTGTTTGATTGGAAAATAAAGAAGGTCGAATAATATAAGTAAAACATATGAGAAAAGTAAAAGCACGAATTAAATACCTAAAAAAAAAAATTCAATTAATTAATAATAAATAAATAAATAAATAAATATAATATAATATATATGTACTGTAAATGCTTACCAAATATCAATGGTAACTTTTCCATCATCAAGGATATTTTTAGGTGAAAGAGTTTCAGTTGCTTCATTTTGAACACTTGATATGACATGGCCTTTATTGTGATGATGCATATGATCATGATCTTGTTGAAGGTAAGATCCTGGGGGTGAGAAGAAAGTCATACACATGAATAAAGCCATTAATGCTCTTGAACCAGCATTTCTATCTGGAGTCAATGGTGGTGTATCAAAATCTTCTTGAGTAACAGAAGACGGTGACTCAGGATATGATGATTCTGGAGTATTAACACCAGGCGTTTTTTGTTGTTCGGTATAGTCATTATATAATTTAATTCCTCCTTTTAATGATTCAATAATCTTTCGTAATTTATCATTATCCTCCTTAGCTTTTACGTTAGCCTTTTTCAAATAAATAATATATTCTGTAGCTTTTCTTAAAATTGTAGCCTTATTCAACTTTCTTGCGGCTGGAATACCATCGATTTCTTCAACCTCATCGTCATCTTTAGTTTTCAAATGGCAAAGAGCTGGCACAACACTTTTAAGTTCATTGATACGATCATTTATGTTATTTCTATAACGACGTTCAATAACGTTGTGAGCAACTTTCTTTTGTTGTTTGTTTGCATTCGTAGTAGGTTGATTAACTTGATTTTGTGTTGAGGTATTTTTAAGACGTGATATAGGAACTTTTGCATTTTGTGAAGTTCCGTTGCCTTGAATTGAAATAAAAGAAAATTTAGAGATTTGATTTATAGATAAATAAATCTAAATATACATATAGAATAAAAAAAAATTTCAAAAAAATGATGGATTATTGATGAAATCAAACTTACCAATAATCTCTCCATTATTTTTTGAATTTAAATTACTCATAAAATTATTACTAGTAATAGGAGTGATTGTATTAGTAGGTGTGGTAGTTGTTGTTGTTGTTGTACTATCAGTTTGATTCCAATTAGATTGATCAAAAGTTGGTAATGGGTTATTTGGAATTTGTTCAAGATTTAAAATGTTTTGTGATAATACATCCAAATCCATCATTGAAACAGGAATTATTTCAGAAAATGATGACGAAGGAGAAGATAAGTTATTAGCACCTTTAGAATCTTCTTTAAAACTTTTTTTCAAATTTGATTTTAATTCATTATTTGTTTTTTTCATGTTTTTTGTATTTTTAGCTATGCTGTCAGGACCTTTATGTTTCTTTTTCAGTAAAGTCTTATCGATAGACACAAGATTTTTAGCAGGTTGTGGACTTTTTTTCAAATTGTTGTTGTTATTATCATTTGTAAAAATATCAAAATCATCTTTTTTTCCTAATAATTGATCAAAAGAATTTTCCATTGTAAAATCGTCAAAGTCATTTATTTTTATATCGTTTGGCGAAATTGTAAAATCTTGAGTGTTGAATATTGGAGATAAAACATTACTACTCATTCCATAATTATCATCAAATGATGACGATGTTGTTGTAAATGAATTTGGAGTGAAATTATTGTCACTTGAAGAAATCAACGAATTTAATATTTCAGGAGAACTGAAAATACTATTATCAGTTGGATATTGAAAGTTGTCGTATAGACTATTGTTGACAAAAGAGTTCAAATCATCATCATTATTATTAATACCGAACATTGCTTGAATTTGTGCATCGATATTAAGATCATTTATTGGATTGGATTGAAAAGTAATATTGTTTTTGTTATTACTATCATCGTTGTTGTTTTCTAAGTTGTCTGATGATTTATTGTTGTTATATGATGAATTATTCATTAGAAGATCTTGAATTTCAGCTTGTTGTTGTAATTCGCTCAGTAAATTATTGTTAGTTTCAAACATTGCGTATTATTTTTACTTCTTTATTATTTTTTTTTTTTTGGGATATTTATATAAATATAATCGTGATGATGATTTGTTAATATTTGATCAGGCTATATATTTTTAATGTAAAACCAAATTAAATATATATATAGAATTAATTTGGGTAATCAAACCTAATCGCCCAATTAAACGACCATTATATATATACAAAATTGCGTGTTATATTGTTTTTTATTCTTTATTAATGGCCGATCCTTATTATTATTTATCAAATTTTGGGGTAAAAATTTTGACGATCTACTATTTCTACTATATATGTATTACTATATTAATTATATTAATGACAAAAAAAAAATTTTTCCTGAAGAATTAAACTATTATTACTATTTAAATTCAATACATTTTATGTATTAAAAGTGCCTAATGTTTCTTCTGCCATTTTTTTTTTTTCAACCTGCGTAGGTTTTAGTTATTTTAATTTACAGCTCTCCATATTCCACATATTCCAATTCTTTGTGCATATTTTCAGCTACCATTTTTTTTGGTTCATATTTACTGTTCATTATCAAACATAAACTTCTGGTAAACTTTTGACCTTTGGACTTATTCTTTTAACGAATTCCTTTAGCACCCCACCCTGAAACAAGAAACATCAATAATGTTTTTATGGTGCAAAACACCTAGTCCCGCAGCTTTTCATTGGTCTTGTAGATCCTTTAGTATTCCAGCAATGGTTTTGAAGACCCAAGCCTCAAAGTTGCACAGGTTTACTATATACGAGACTGTCTACAGCAAAAACCACTCCGAGCTCTTTTACTAATTTGTGTTTTTTACATAATACCATCCTGTGACATAACTTGTGACCTGTTTACTTAAATGAAATTGATCTACATACCCCATTTTTTATTGTTACATGTAATAATTTAAATAAAATTTTTAAAAGTAATGTATATTTGGGGCATGCTGTAACAAAACCAGAAAAGTGAACATTGGTATTGCCAATATTTCAGGAATCAAAATTTAGTAACGTGATTATTATTAAAAATCTTCCATTTGTTATCTATCCTCTTAATATTAGGTGATATATAGAATTACCTCTATATAAAAATAGTTAATATGAAATTAATTTACATCAGATCTACTATGAAACCCAAGAATTATAGCACCATTAGAAGTATTTTGAAGAAAGAACAAGGTGAGAAAATCGCTCCTTACATTTTCAAAATAAATGATACTCGGACATTGAAAGCTTATCTAAAAAAAGAAATGATTACCTATGAAATTTACCAAGAATGAAAAAATCATAACGAATAAAAGAGCATCAATGCAAAGCCACGGTGAACCTAGAAAGAAGAGAAAATCAGAAGAAAAACAATTTTACTGCCTAAATCATGTAAAATTATGGATTTTGGGCTTATTTTATATCACGCATATTTTTATTAATTTAAATAATTCTCTATCTTTGTACAAATAAAATTAATATGTATAAATATATAAATCTGATGTCCTTCGGTTTTAAACAGGGTCACAGAAAATCTTAATAAATAATAATCCCTAGTTGCTTATTTTAAAGTAATTCTGTGGTAGCATTCACCCTCTCCGATTAAGTCTTGCTACTATGGCAGCACTTAACCACCAATAAAAGTCTTGGATTTATAATAACAATTTTATTACAAATTTGTCTGTCTATTTGTTTAATTATTTATACAACTAAGATGTCCCTAGAAAATGTTAGTGTATAATTATAAAAGGAAATAATTTTGTGAGTAATTATTTTAATAATGATTCGTTATGAGTAATTAGGGTTGGGGAAGTAATTTCATTAACAGGTATTTAAGTTTAAAAGAGTGTTTGATTTGTTTAATAATATCATGATCTTTGTTATCCTGAACTGTTAAAAAATCCTCAAAATAAGTATCCAATGAAAGGGTTCATATACCTTTCGTGGGTGTACAGATTTTCAATGAAATTTCTATCTATATTTTTAATCGTTTAATTTTTCAAAGGTACTTTTTGTTCTTTTCATTATTTTATATAAAATTCTAGCTATTTGTTAAAATTTGTAATTAAAAATTTAAAAATCATATGATTCTCTATTTTTGTCAAACAGCTAACAGAATTAATAACTGATTTCTAAATATATACAAATTGAAATGATAAATGTTGGTTTTTTTAAAAGATAAGAGTAAAAAGATGAGATAAAAAAAATAAGAATAAATAATATAAAATATAAAATAATAATAAAAATATAAATATAAATAATTCATAAATATTTATACGAAAATCAAAATAATTAAAATAATCACGTTATATTTGAAAAATGTGACATTGTAATATAACATATTACACTGGCTTTAGGGGACGCCTTAGTTTAGTTGTAAATGATGATTATTCTCCTTTGAAATTCGAGTGAATTAACTTGGTGACCTGGTAGGTATTGCAGTATCAATAAGTCAATACTAAGGTCGGATTGGGTGGAACGCCTCCACTAAATTCTTAATTAAGGATCTGATTTCAGGTTTGTTGACGGTTTACTGGTTTTGTGAAAATTTTAGATATTGATTGTTTTGATAGTTTTTTATAAGAAAATTATGTGAAATTATTTAACCATAAAGCTGTTGGGTATATAGTGTTATTTAGCATAGTGGAAATTTGAAATGTTACATTAATTTTTTATATTGTGCAACGTAACTTTACAATACACGACAAACATTCTGGCAATAAAAAGGAAGTGATAAACTGGATTTGAATTGGATCTGAACTTGATCTCCAACTTAGAGAAGTAACAACTATATACTGGTGAAGTTTCAGGAGCAACGGGTTCTGTATAACATTTTGTGCAACAACAAATTTCCATTATGCTGGGTTATTTTAAATACGTAGACAGATTCGGACGCCTTGTGCGTTACTTACTCACACTAGTACCAATATATTATCTAATAACGAAAAAGTCTCATCCGCAGCCGTAGAGAATGATTTATTTTTCGTTACAGCATTAATAAAAAATATACCAACATTTTATCATTTGTACAACTAAACCCAAACAATAATGATCTATCTATTATATATTTGTCAACAACTGAATAATGAAAGTATTATTTATATAGGAGAAAATGTAAACTAAGGTGATATTGCAATAATTTATGGTTTATTTTAAATTTCATTATAAATTTGTATAATATTAAAAAAACAAATAATCAATTTGACTATCTATTGTAAATTTTAATTTTAAGAATACTAATTTCTTAATATAATTATAACAACTCAGATATAAATATAGATACTATGATAATAGTCAAATTTCCAATAAACTTTAATATTTCAGTGGTAATAATGAATGATAATACGAAAAAGTTTGATTATCTATTTAAAGAATATTTTTAACATCTTGCAATAATAATTCAGAATTAATTTTTTCGTTTTTTTTGTGCGAGTGTTTTCATTATCTTTTGAACGTTGTCAACATATGGTCTTTTGTATGTAGTGAAACTGATGATTGTTCCTTTTCAAATCATTTATTTTATTATCAATTATTTCATATATATTTTTTAGTGGATTTAATGACAAACAATATTGAAAAGATTTCTAAGTTAATAATAATAAAAATAAGATATTTATAGCCAAATAATATACTTACTGCTAATCTAATCATCATTTCTGTGATTCTACTTAAAGAAGTAAAACTTAGATTATCTTCCTTGCAAGGAAGTGGTGCAGATTCAACATTTAAAAATAAAAAGAGAACTGGATACACTTGCCTTGTACTGAAGAGGTTAAGGTACAAGCGGTTTTGACCATTAAACTCTCCAGACAATTGAAGCCCCCATGTTCTCAACGATCTCAAATCATTTTCTATTAATTTATATAAGTGCTTAGTTCTCTCTTCAAAGTCATACCATAATGTAAATAAATCATCACAGTTGTATCTGGCGATCTTCAATTTGTCATCAAGAAATTTTTTTGTGTTGTCATTTGATAAAAAACTATTTTCTAGTGTGAAAATCTCATATCCATATACTTCTCCTCCAAGATCAGTGCCGTAATCCAAAAAAGGAAAAAGTATGGTTGCAAAAGTGGTCGCAAAGATAATTGCAACCACCTTTTATATGCCGTAAATACAATTACTACCATCATCATAATTTATGGCACTAGTCTTTATTCTCCTCCAAGATCAGTTTTTGATCCTCTTTTGTTATCATTGTTTATCATTTTGTTTGCAAATTTGGTAGACTTTCGCCGCTTGGAAAAGAAATGTGTATCACTAAGACTACAGTATGATACATGTATCAAATATAGGAGGAACCAAAATTACCTTACTACTGTGCAGTAGTTCCTTAGTATTTTAGACAATGGTGTTATATGACAAGACCCTACGTCACCCTCCAAGGTGTCCGTTTTATATGGCTCACTGAGGTAATCACCACTAATATAGAAGTAATCAAGTTAATTTTTTGTGTAAATACACAGATATCCAAGTATTACTTACTAGTGAATCAAAATGTGGTGCACGTAATCTATTATATTATTTTCATCTTTTGATTTTTCACACTTCCATTCTGTATCAACAAAGCTTGAAAAATAATATCTCCTTGCCCATGTCGCCATATCTTTCCAGTTATCAAATTGTTTCTATGGCCAAAAAAATACATGTTAAGTTTTTAATTTGATAAACAGAATACTAGATCAACAATTACATACATTTTCCAACTTTGAAAAAAATTCAGGTAACTTGTCACAAATTATTGAAATGGTTGAAATATCAGATATCTCTTGATTTATCACATCGTGATTCAAAAAGTCCAATTCAAGTTCATTTAAATATATGATTTGTTTCTTGTGCATTCTGTTAAAATAAAAAAAAGTTTTTTAAGAAACTAAATAAGAAAATTATTTTTATAGAATATGTATACTTCTTTATGCTTCAATGTTTCAATATTTGATTTTAATAAATTCTTTAGAATTGTTTTATATATGTCGTCGGTATTATGTTTATTTTCTTTAACATCTACTTCGTTTCTAAGGAATAATGTAAGGTAAATTAAAGATTAGAGTAAGGAGATGTGAATTTATTCATCTTTAGGTTTTGTGACATTTTAAAAAATGGAGAAATTTGTTTTTGTAAACGTAATTCTTTATTTACTTCAACTAGAGTGATGAGTGGTGGCGATAACCACCATTCTTACGATAAAACTTAGCCAACACTTCTTTCATCTTTGTTATTTTGTTGTTTTCTTAATTTGTTATATTTGACATTTTTAAAATTTAAAGAATAAAAATATGTTGATCGATCGACAAAACGCGTACGCTAATTATTTATCTATTGTTTTTTTGTTGACGCGATTGATTTTTTTTTTTTTTTGGGAAAACAATTTATTTTTTGACAGATGACAAAAAGCGAGTGATGTTTGGCATGGCATGATTCTGAAGACATGTTAATAACTAACCAGAGGTAATTTTTATTTTATTTGCATTGATATAATGCAGCCAGGGATATTTCCATATCGGGATTCGTTTCCAGAATAGTCTGCTGATCAATTCATTATATGTTACAAATACTTCTTGTTATATCTATGACATTTTCTAAAAATAAATCAGTTTATAATGATTGTATTAAACTTGCTCTTTCATAATCTGTTAATAATCTGTAATAATCTGTTGATTTGTTCAAAGTACGTTTTTACTAAAATTAGAAATTTATGACTAGAATTTAATTTTTATTGGTTTTTAGACCATTATGTTTGCATGAAGATATTGCAAACAAATATCCAGAAAGCCAGCTGATACCATGTTGGTGCAAATCTTATTATTAAGTATATTCAGAATCACCATTACTATATTTATTCATGTAAATTAATTTGTTAATAACAATATACTTTTATTATTTATTTATTTAAAGGTAGTTTAAGGATACTGACTGCAACTTTGATGATGGTTGTAACCACCTTTACATCATATACAAATGATTGCAACACCTAGTCGTAACTGCCTTTGCAACAACTTTGTTGCATTGCAGATGGAGCACTAAAGTAGTTCGGTATGGAAATGTAAGCATAAAACTCCAAATAAATTATTTTGTATTATTTACAATGGTGTCTATTGATTTCAATATATTATTAATCATTATTTATTTTTACTATATGGATTTTGTATGTATCTTTTATTTATTATTTAATAGAATTGGCAAGGAAATTTATATGGTATTATTTAAATTTTAAAATGAAGTATTTTGTTCTGATGAATGGCAACTTAGTAAATTATTAGTGGACTTTTGATTTTAACACTAAATGTGACATAAAGTGATGATCATATTTATATTGTGCAACTAACAAAATTAATTGAAAAAGTACTTTAAAATACTCATTAATGTAACATAAAAATTACACAAACAAATATGCATGGAACTTTGCATAAACATTCTTTGGGTGCTTTATATACTGAAAGTCCTTTCTCATCAAGTCCATCAAGTTCAGTTGCAGAGATGAACAAGAAGCAAAGTTATTAATATTACTCTTATTATGTTATGCGCCTTAAAAACTTTGTTTCTCATCTAGTTTTTGATAGGACCAAGATCTGAGGATCTTATTTTGCCCAAACATAAAGAAAAGAATAAACAACTTATCAATATAAAAAAATAACATGCAAGGTGCATTAGTTTTTTTTTACCAATATTCCTCTTTTTTTTTACTTTAAAATAATTGAAAATTTCTGTTTCACAATATAAAAAAGATCGATGTTCAATTTTGTCACTTTGTGATAAATAGGATGTCCATTATGCTGTGTAGCACATCATGTAAACTTAGTTTGTTCAGATATTGTTAAAAAAAATTAGTTTTGGCAAGAATGTTTTATCTCAATGTCAAAAGTTTGTGAGTTATTTTCAAGGTTCTTATAAAGCAGGTGCACAACTTCATAATGAAATAGTTGAAGCATTCATTATGGGTGGAGGTCTTAAGTCATCAGTGGTAACCATGTCGTAAATACATTAAAAATCAAATTGTCAAAAAATTCACAAAACAACGACAACATGTTAAAAACCATATTCAAAATGTAAAAAATAAAATATCATTAACATTGGATATTTGGACATCTGAAAATTCTCACACATCATTTCTTGGGGTTACTTGTCACTATATCAATGATGAATGGAAACTG